GGAAAACCTTTGCCTTATCTTCAATCTATAGGAACTGATTGGCTGGAGAAGGTACTTTGCCCGGTAGCACTGGAGTTCAATAGTAATCCTGGACTGCCATCTACTGGCCAATAATCATCATAGCAGACCCTAAATGGACTCAACCTTAGTCTAGAAACCCAATTTCTTTTTCTTTCTTTTCCTTCCTTCCTTCCTTTCCTTTTCTTTCTTCTTCCTTCCTTCCCTCCCTCCTTCCCTCCCTCTCTCTCTTTCTTTCTCTCTCTCTTTCTTTCTTTCTTTCTTTTTTTTTTTTTGAGACGGAGTTTCGCTCTTGTTACCCAGGCTGGAGTGCAATGGCGCGACCTCGGCTCACCGCAACCTCTGCCTCCCGGGTTCAGGCAATTCTCCTGCCTCAGCCTCCTGAGTAGCTGGGATTACAGGCACGCGCCACCATGCCCAGCTAATGTTTTGTATTTTTAGTAGAGACGGGGTTTCACCATGTTGACCAGGATGGTCTCGATCTCTTGACCTCGTGATCCACCCGCCTCGGCCTCCCAAAGTGCTGGGATTACAGGCTTGAGCCACCGCGCCCGGCCTCTTTCTTTCTTTCTTTCTTTCGACAGAGACTTGCTGAAGTGCAGTGGTGTGATCTTGGCTCACTGCAGTCTCCACCTCCCAGGTTCAAGCGATTCTTCTGCCTCAGCCTACCTACAGGCAAGCACCACCACGCCCAGCTAAGTTTTGTTTTTTCAGTAAAGGTGGGATTTCACCATGTTGGTCAGGCTGGTTTCGAACCTCTGACCTCATGATCCACCCAACTTGCCCTCCCAAAGTGCTGGAATTACCCGCGTGAGCCACCGTGCCTGGCCCCAATTTTGTTTTCTGTTAATAGTGGAGGATTTCCTTCAGTCACCAAAACAAACACGTGACTAAGTAGACCACTGTATCCTGAACGTCTCTCTAAGGTCCCTTAGTTTTAGGATTCAAAGAATCTATTTCACCCACTTTGTTTCTTACCATCCAAGGGTTTACCCTTGAGTGCAATAAATCTCATTTTATTGGTTTTTTGATAAAAATTAAAATTACATGTACTTACGGTATGCAATTTGATGTCTTCATACATGTATACATTGTGAAATGATGAAGTGAAGCTTTTTAATGTATCTATCACCTCACGTATTTATTATTTTTTGGTAGTAAGAACATTTAAAATCTACTCTTTTGAAGTGGGGCAAGGTGCCTCATGTCTGTAACCCCAGCACTTTGGGAGGCCAAGGTGGACAGATCACTTGAGGTCAGGAGTTTGAGACCAGCCTGGCCAACATGGTGAAACTCAGTCTCTACCAAAAATACAAAAATTAGCTGGGTATGGTGGCAAGTGCCTGTCATCCCAGCTACTAGAGAGGCTGGGGCAGGAGAATCGCTTGAACCCCAGAAGCGGAGGTTGCAGTGAGCTGAGATGGCACCACTGCACTCCAGCCTAGGTGACAGAATAATACTTGCCTCAATTTAAAAACAAAAATAAAGCCTATTCTCTTCACAATTTTCAAGTATACAATAGATTATTATTGACTATAGTCACCATGCTGTGAAATAGATCATTTTATTTGATTATTTAAACAATAAAACATGGGGTCTGGGACATCAAGCATTTATGTTAATCAAATACGTTAGCAGATAAATGGATGAAAACTCTAAAAACTATTTCTAGACTTTGTTCTGCTTGTCTGGAAAAAGGCTTCAAAGCCCGTTGGGTTGATTCCCAGGTCTGCCACTTTCTTCACAAGCTGTTGGGTTGACTCTCAGGGTTATTAGAATTCCAGTCCTGACACTTTCTAGCAGTGTGTCCTTGCTCAAGTTACTTAATCTCTGTGTGTCTCAGTTTCCCCATCGGTAAAAATGGGGGCAATAATAATACTATTCCTTATTTTACAGGGATATTGGAGGATTCAAGTGGTTAACGAGTGCAAAGTTTTTGGAAAAGTGCCTGAAACACACCAGTAGCAAAAGTTCAATAAATTTTCACTATTTGTTGTAGTTGTTGTCACCATTGGTAACATCACTTATCGACTGTCCCTGAGATGATAAGATTAGGAGCAGCCGCCGGACAGCCTTGAGGCTCCCAGCTGCGCCAGAGACAAGTGCAGAGCCGAGATGCAGGCTCCATCACAGGGCGCTCCTCCCCAGACCCATGTCTCCCGCAGACGCCGGCAACCGTCCAGGGGCCCAAACCCCCTCCAGCCATCTTACCCACTGACCTACCACCAAAGTCGCTACAGTTAAAATGTGTGTGTGTGGTGGGGATGTAATACCAGAATCCTTGTCTTTCAATATCACCTTAGACACTTTCATGCATTCATTCAGCAAACCTTGATCAAGTCCTAATATCCTGTTCACTCTGTGATCTGGGATTCTGACACTAGCCAGGAGACAGAGGTTTCATCAAGTCACGGGGGCATCAAAACAAGCTTCAGGAGTGGGGAAGCCCACACCCACACCCCATTGTGCTCAGGGCCTTGACTGGATTGGCCCATAACTAGAACCTATGGCCAGATGGGCTGGAGGAATTGTTGGTAAGAAATAAGATGAAAATGGAGGAATTTTTATGTTTTTATCAAAGTTATAGACACAGAGTAATAAACCCAAAAAAATATGTGTTAAATAACTGGCCAAACTTAAGAAAAATAGATGTAAATTATTCATACGATCCTAGCTTTCTCTCTCAGCACGCTTCGTCCTCAGCCTCACCACTCTTTTGGGTACTAAGACAATCATGGGGGGCCGGGTGCGGTGGCTCACACTTGTAATCCCAGCACTTTGGGAGGCTGAGGCTGGCAGATCACCTGAGGTCGGGAGTTCGAGATCAGCCTTAACCAACATGGAGAAACCCCATCTCTACTAAAAATACAAAACTTAGGCCGGGCGCGGTGGCTCAAGTCTGTAATCCCAGCACTGTGGGAGGCCGAGGCGGGTGGATCACGAGGTCAAGAGATCGAGACCATCCTGGTCAACATGGTGAAACCCCGTCTCTACTAAAAATACAAAAAATTAGCTG